TACATCATCAATTAAAGTGGGAGTACACTTAATGTGGATTTATCTATGGGAATTCCAATTTCTTTTTATGATATTAACCAAATTGAGGAGGTGAGAAATGGGTAAAATATATTAGCCTTAATCGCCACAAGATCTGGTTAAATCCGCAGCAGTGCAATTGAAACTGTACAAACATCAATTTTGCACATCATCCATTATATGATTGCTCTACACATCTCAAGTGTGAAATTGTTCACCTCTCTGTGGGACAGAGAAAATGGAGCAATTCTATCATCACATATTTATGCGACTAATGCCAAACAAATAAGTTGCCTGCAGTGAGTGAACATGAGAAGTTAATTAAGGACAAGTCGTCAGAAAAAATACGAGCGAAAATATTAAGAGATACATATTAGTAGTATTGGTTGTGTGTTATCCATATATGAAGTATTACATATAATAGTTCAATGACTTAGTATAATATTCGATAAGTATCTCTTTCTCATATTCTGCACACTATCTTCTCTTCCAGCGGCACGTTGCAATGGATTTTATGAGCTCGAAGCAGAAACCCATTCTCACATTTGCACTCGCAACGTGCTTATGGACAAAAATTCACATGGGACAATTGCGGGAAAAATACATCCAAGGGATGCACTTGTGGCACACCAGAACAGCATGGAAATGTTTAATGTTCAATGGGGATAAGGAAATTCAACAAATTAATGATCCAGCCTCCCGCAAGAGTCCAATCGAATTGCAAAGAAGGATATTCTCTGCAGACAACATAGTATAAGACTAAATGGCAATTAAGAACTATTTGCAATCTGTACGAGATCAAAATCAATTTGTAGCAATGTTGCGCAAATAAAGTATTGACTCATTGCCAATAAGAGAAAATGTTTTATGGGAAGCGCGCACAAGGAATTGTCTGGGCGAGAAGAGAGCGAAAAGAACTATTGTATCAATAATCTGGATAGTTGAGTAAGTATAACAGGTTTCTGGCTGGTCTGTGCAGATGAAAAATTCCTAAAGATTATGATTGCAGATTTTATAAGTTTTTCCTCACACCACTTGCTTCTCTTGGCACTCACATCCCCTTGAAAGGATCCATTCGCGTATTGTGATTAATATTCAATATTCTCTTTGGAATATGCTACACTTCTGACGTCACGTCCGATGGAGAAATATAGGTTTAAATGGTTGCAAGGGAAAGTAAAATAAAGTTCTCTCCATTATGTGTTAAGAGATAGACTATGTCAAATGATCTTGACGCAAAATCTGTGATTTTATAAGATGAAATTTCCTCTCATACCAGAATTTGTATCATTTCTTCTGTTTCTACACTATTTGTCTTTCATTTTCATTCATTGCATGTTGTCTGCAAAGAAGTGTGAGATCAAGTAAAGAGGAATTGAAGATTCTGATGGCAATTATGAGATATTCCAGCGATTTTCACGGCCACGCAGAAATGCACTTAATTTGTCCTGAAAACTACAGTCGAGGAGCATTTATAAAGAAACGATTAAATTGATATAATTTCGCGTAAAAATTCTTTAGAATACTTTCTTGGTGTACATATATATATATATATATATATATATATATATATTCGTTGAACATCATCAGTTCAAAGGATGCTATCTTTTCAGAAATTTTATCTAAAGTTTCAAGTAAATGAAAGATCGCTAGAAATGCAAATGCCAAATGCCATGTAAAGTCTCACGTGGAATTTCTGCAATATGAAGAATGGTGTGGAAAGTTGTAAAATATTTTTTAGCATCACGTTCTTACGCTAATCTCCCACTTTAAAATCCCTAAGATGCATTGAATGTGTGAGCATAACAATACATAACGCCACTGAGATGTATAATTAGATGATTTTAGAAAGATATGTTAGGAGTAAATGAAAACACAAATGGTTTAATTTTTATTATTATTCCATTCACTCGTTCTTATAGTCTTCGAGCACAATTTTATGATATTTTCCTTGTCCCTTAATTAAGATGTTTAATGTCATATTTCGCACACTTGCATTTCACCCATTGTTAGGTAAAAAAGATGGGAGAAATTCACATTTCCATCAAAACGTTGAGCGTATGAAACAAGGTGTGAGCAAAAGATGGGCAAAAAATGCTTAATATTACAAGGCACAGTGTGAATTTATTTTTCTTCCAATAGACAAACAATTGACGAATGGAATGCATATGGAAAACACCGGGGAATTCGAGAGAAAGAACATTTATATTTCTTTAATTGTCTTTGAGGACGTGAGAACTCCTCGCGGTGATGATTTGTGAAATTATCAGGTATGATGAACGTATTAATGATACGTATTTTGAGCAAATACAACATTTAGTGCTTTATTACTTAGAGGGCAGGTCCCGGTTCGGCCTAGCAAATAAATCAGTCACTCGCGCTGAAGCCATGGGCGAAAATCCCAGCAGCAAACAAGAGTTGGCAAAGGTGCAATAATGACCAGTAGCAGAGATGTGACGCTTTTGAAATGCACTGCAACAAGACCGCGTCTGACCACATGCGGCAAACTTGAGACGCATCTCGCAATATACTCATCAATTAACTCCAATCAAATACTATAATTATTATTCACTTTACTCTCAGAAGATTCTTGTTGAAGGAACTTCACCGCGCTTCTTGTGTATTTTCTTATAAGGAAATACTTTCTTCTTTCTCCGCCACTGAATTGCACCTCCTACTCGAAGCAATTGCGCTGTGTTGGCTTAATTTCATTGAGTGTGGAAGTTAGTACCCAGAGATCATTGTTGGACTATTAAGACAGATTACGATGCAAAATTGGCATGAGCATAGGATGAAACTTCACCACCACGAGAGGAAAATGCCAATTCACTCTGGATCCATTTGATGACCACTGATGAATGGCACATCGTCATCTTACATCGCGGTATTTTCATCTTTCCAGCCAACACACAGAAGGAGCGAGAGAAGAAAAGAGATTTAAGATTGGAAGCCACGGATGTCAAGAAATATTCATTCAATGAGCTGTTCACTGCATTCGAAAACAGAGTTGATCATGCCAAAAAGCGATGATTGAGATTAAGATCTTGATGATCTTGGATGGACCGTGCTGTTCTTAATATAAAAGTTATCTTACTTACTGATTGTGAGTCGATTTTGTAAATTTACATTTGAAAATTTTGATTCCATTCGCTTTAAATCTATAATTTTTTCAACTCTTCTCAGCCCATGATAAAGAAAAAGAACTGCATTTCTTCCCTCAGCCTCCGTCCTCGCCTCTCGCTCCACCATACCCAGACAATATAATAAATAAAGTATAAGAATAGAGTAAACGGCTAAATAGGCGCCTAATTATCGCTGGCGGTCAGATTGGATTCTCAAGCCAGATGGCGGAAGACGAAGTATTTTCACAGCATCAAAAAATTGTTTGATTTAACAATTTCTTCCTCCAAACAAGTGTTTAGTGCGATATATGTATATATACACACACAATGTGAACTGATAATAAGCGGAGTGAGACAAAAAAATTTAATTAACCCTTTTTACACGAAAGGTACGGATAATGACGATATAGATGGCTGAGAAAAGTTAAACTCACTGATGTTAATAATGTTATAGGAAAAAGGAGGAAAATGTTGGTTTTTTTTCTCTCCTGGTAAGTAACAAAGCATGGCAAGGCAAAGTTGAGAATGGCATGAGAGCAGAGAATTCTGAACATTCTTCACTTGTTTTCGATCGATTCAATTAAGAAGCTGCCAAAGTGAAATACTGATTACACAACACTCTTAACACTTCTTCCACAATTCAATTGCCTCTGTGCTTCACCTCCGGTTAAACGCAACATCTCACTTTACTCATATGGCCTCTCGAAGTATCGCCTCATCCAATTAGACAAAAGAAAGCAATCAGAACCGCTGAGAGAAGAATAATTTGTGACGCTGAACATCTCTATATCGACAATATTCACTGATGCGGAATGAAGCGCGTTGTTATAAATTCACTTGCACAGTGTAAATAACAATTAGTACTTGCTCCACTAATGACTCTCTTTTTTCCCTAACTGGCAGCCAATAAATTTAAATATACGATTTGTTTAATTTTCGTGCGCAATTCATTGGAATTTTCATGCTTTTACGCCCCATCGTGAACACTAAAATTATCCACTAAATGCAAATTGACCACAATTAAAAGGTACAATTAAAATAAAATGAGAGAACAACACATACACACCATTCCAGCGTCCAATAGAGGATTTACCACGTATGGACAGTGAAATGTATTTAAAGTTGGCAATTCTTCCTCACATTTAATCGGACAACCACAATCAGCACCCAGAGCACTGCACTTGTAACTTGAGATGTTATGCTTCTGTTGCTGGAGCCTCTCTCTCTCTCCCTTCTCCCATGTCGTTTTTGTCCACACGCTCATACAACTATTATTACATACTTGTGACACTACTGTTAAACTCCTGCCATGGCATGTATGCATATTTCATGCAACTAAGGGATTGGATTTTGACTACACATTGGGGATTTAAACATGATTAAATTCCTCACTAAACCGTGCACTACAAAATGACCAATGAAAACCCTTTCATATTACTTTCCAACTCCATTTCTTCACCATCTCCCGCTCTCTCTCTCTCTCTCTCTGTCTCCCTCTTTTAGATCTGAGTTCTATTCACAGAGCAGTGACACGAATCCCAAGAAAAATTGAGGGAAATTAAAAATTCGACAACCTTATTAATTATTTAGAGTAGAATAGAGATAATGACACCTGCGAGAAGAGACACTCGAATGCCAAGAAATGTTGGACAAGATATTTTATTGAGATCACATGTGTCATGGTGAAAAACTTGCTCACCCAAATTATATGTTTTAGTGTGGAAAAATTCTTAATTGTGCCCCTGCGGCTCAATTAACACAATCCTCGGCATTTAGTATGTTTCTCATGCCACTACTCGTCTTCATTAAACCGACACTTCAAGCAATTTTCACTAGATTATTATTATAATTAGAAATTACCGACAGGTAATGCGCACAAGTCTTCATAAAGCTGCACCGCCTAAAATCACTTTTGCCAAGTCACTTTCAGAGTTTGTTTTTATTGACATTTTTTCCACCGTATTTTCATCTAAGTTTTTCACGCACTGTATTTACTAGATGAGTGTAAAATCAACGTGATTCATCTTTGGCTTCTCAAGAACAACAGTACACATTTTTTCCACCACACAAAAACCACATGTGAAATCCCCGTGAAAGCCGCGTGATAAGCACGAAACGAGTGAGAATCCTCAGCTAATGCCATTGAAGACGTCCAACCAAAGCGGAGTCCGAAGACTGTCTGATTTTATAATTCCTCCTCTTTGATTTCTTCAGTTTGAGTTGAACATTGTGTATTTGTAGGCAGAGGTAGCACATATATACATATGTACATATATAGTGGTATATCGCGTCTTGTTGAAAATGCTTTTCGCTCTGTCTTTTGTGACTTTAGCTTCCTCAGCTGCTGCCTCGTAACTCTTCTTTTTACCTTCTGATTCTCCCGGATTTTCTCCCAGCAAACTTCAGACGGTTCATAGCGATTTCCTTATATTCTTGTACTGCCATCCTGTTGCCCAGCAAAAGGAAGCTAATGTCACCCAATCATTGGCAAAGCGAAGGAGTAAGTATGATCCATGTCAAGTAGATCACGAAAAACATGTTTGCCTTCCTCACTCAACCGTCTAGTCCGGCTCAGAAAGGCTTATGCAGCGAAAGACTGGTTAGAGATTTGCAGTTTAAATAAATCTAACATTTTCTTTTTCAAAAATATCCACACTAAGTTGCTGATTAATTTATAATATTGAATGGTTAGTAAATTTTCTTTATTTTTTATGCTTGATGTGAAGTGTTGTTATATCTTGTTAAAATATTTGTAAAAAAAAATCCTTGATTTTCTGAACTTTTAAGTATTTGTAATTGAAGGCAAAATATATTAAAAAATACAGATATTAAGAAAAATTTTAGAGTTGATCTTTAACTATACCTGGTTATATTCCAAAAAATAAAATATACAAAATTTTTTGTTATAACAGTGTAACTTTATAGAATTGTAGAATAAAATTCAGAATTGTTTTTCTAGCGTATAGATCAAAAAAGAGCTTCAAAATTGAAAACATCACTATGTGGCTGTCTGTTTTGATAAGCCGTTTCTAAATTAAGATATTCGAGGAGACATTTGTTTATTATAATTAAACTTATTTATGCAAATCTCTACACATTCAAAAAGATTTTCTATTGATTGACAGCGAGCCGCGATGTCGAATGAGTGGCGAAACGTAGATAACTAATATTTGGCTGTCCAAGTACCTAATCTTCACTAATCACAGCGTTGTGGATAAAATCAATAAATCAGTCCTAAAAGGCTGATGCATTTTTAATAAATTCAACATTGCACGAATAGTGTGTAAACATCGCCCATATGTCTCGATTGCGTGTCTCACATAATCAAGTTGGAAGCCTCAATCATATAGGATGTTTGGACGTCCAGTGAGGAATCAATTCAATATTATATAGGTGGTGGAATATTGAATCTCCCTCCTTTTATGGACTCTTTCTCATAAATCGAGTGCTACACCTCAAGAGAAATTCACTTTCACCCTCTGTGGTCAGTGACTTGTACAATTTCAGCGTATGCTGAACTTGGAACTTTCAATTGCCGAATTATTTGGACTCCCCAATTGCCATGAGCCATCGTGACTCTTTTCACCCTTACTTAGGTAAGTTAATCGCCACACTTCGAGGCAAAAACAAACCATTTTTTATCCAAAAACTGCGCCGCAATTTCTTAGAGTAACATCCGCGAGACTCGAGAAAGAAACCAGAAAAGTTTTTGTCAAGGTTTTTGTCTACACAAAACATGGCAAGAAAGAGTTGTCCAAAAAAGTAAAACCGCATCAAGCTCACCTTCATTAAACGAACGAGAAAATTTTCATAAAAGATTAATGTTGGATGAATTTGTAGTACCACAACTGTCAATCTGTCTTCATACAATACCAGATAGGACAATAAACAGAAAAAAATATTTCTCATTCATATGCACATAGTATTTGGTTGGCAAATAAGAAGTAGTACAAAAAGTATCAATCAGTGAGGATTAACTTTTAATCCACTCTGACACATCTCTTTCTTTCTGGCCTCAGGAGATGACCGTAGAACAGGAATCACTTTATGAGATACAAAATCTGTCGTGCATGAGGTTTTTATCTATAAATCTTGAGCTTCGTGTAGGTGAAACACCTGAATATATTCAAATAAATCTCGCCTTGTCTACTCGTCGCATCTCCTTTTTGATATGATTGACTCAAATCTTGAAAATATTTTGACCCAGTCCACAAAGAAGTTTCATGGTGTCTGTGGAAATATTTCCATCTCTTCTATTGCCTTTAGAGTCTTCACATCAATTGTTATTGGAATTAATATGAAAATATATAGTATGGATAAGAAATTCTTCAAATCAAGATCGCAGTGTCACTACTATTTTGAAGATCCACATGAAAATTGCTGACTGGCAACATTGTTTCCTACTATAATACAATCATTAAAAGGTGTCCGTGGAAGTGCGAAAAGCAAATACAAATTCCCCAGCCAAATCGGAACTGATCTCCATCTGAGAGCATCGTGCAACATAACTATTTACTCACACGACATACCGATTAATTATTCTCGCAAAGACGCGGAAAAAGCGTATGTATGTAAAAATTTTCACATACCTCCGATGGGTCGATACGATAAGTTCACATCGTCATCATTTGTATAGCATTATGGGAGAGATTTCGTGGCTAAACGTCTTGAAGATTTCCACCTCATGTTTTCCATCGGCTGAATAGTAACATTAATATTCTCGCGTTTTGCCGGGAAGTTGGCCGAGGGATAAAAAGTCCACAGTGATAGATGATTCAAATCCAGACTATGTAAATTTTCCCTCGATTCTCTCTCTTGGTTTCCCAACCGACACCGCGCGCCTGACGATTCATATCTTGGCATTTATCTATCGACCAGACGGAAATCTGAGAGAATGGAAATCAATAATAGTTCTCCACTTTGTTTTCGTCCGCCTCTGTGTCTTTTTAAGTGCTATTCTATGGCGAAAATGAATCTTCGTTGAAAAAGACATTTCAGATCAATTTTAATGAATTTTTTCGTCCATCTAAACAAACACTCATTATAATTCCAACTACCTTAATCGATTAAAGCCACTTAAAACTGTCCTTGGTCGATCAGGTGAGTCGTAAAACTTTAAATTATGTGTCTTCAATTAATGTGACCGTTTAGCATACACCCCTTCCAGGGATTGAGCTGGGCGAAGCACACTCTATTCATGTGTCTGAATGCCTTTGTAATTATTCCTACTTTTCTTATGCGACAGACATTATACATATATATTTTGGGAGTGAGAAATTTCCCTTCCTAAACAAAGACCATACACAATTTTACTTTAATTTCCTCCAATTAAAGTTAGGTTGAAACAAATCATAATATCAACTGCTGTTTTTTCAAATGCTTTAAACCTCACTCTCTTGACCAGCTTTGGGCGCAGAGCTTTCAGCTTGTCGATAAAGCAGTATTCACCTGTTAACGCGGAGAAAGTGCTCATGGCGTGAGCAATCAGAGTGGGGAGACGACCTCAGAACCCCAACGAGCGCTTCTACTAACTCTCCTTTCAGTTGAAGTCGACTCTTGGTCGTGTGAGTGTGTAATTTTCAGTTCGATTCTTCTTTCTTTCGCACCAATCCACATGTTTTGACGCCTCAATTGTCATCAAGTGTGGTGTATGATTTGTGTATTGAATAAGATATTAATAAAACTGTGCAAAAATCTGTCGTGATTTCCTGAAAAGTCCTGTGGTCAAGGTTCTGCAATCGTGAATTAGTGGACTTACACAGGCAAATTGTATTAGTCATCGATCTTTTTGTGAATTAGATCAATCATTTTCTTCGTGTCCAATCTGTGTGACATTTCTCAGGCACATCCGTTTTAGTCACACACTTCCAAATTTACACTTTAATCAGATTCTGTATTTAGTGAGGCTTAATTACGAAAAATATGGTGCCATCTTAAAGCACATTCTCACAATTCAAATTAATTTGTTTTATATATCTCGTGACTCATATTCTCACTCTCCCAATTACTCAAGATAGTCAATAACACTCATTAGTTTTTATATCTGTTTGTGGCCAAGCTGAAGTATTCTAGATGAGCCAGACAATCTTACATATTTGCTCTCAAACAACAACAGAAGAATTTATATAAGCTGTCCAGTACAAATTTTCCCGACCTACAATACTGTAATTTTTGCATGTGTGTAATTGTCGGAGAAAAGTCAATAAATTTTCATTTGTGGTGTACTTCGAGGGTCGCAGACGTCACAGTCACATTTTACGCCGCCTCACCCGTTCTGTGGATTTCCTGTGTTATACAAATTGAATTAAATTCACGAAATACCTCAGATGGGGAGCAAAAAAGAAAGTTAGGTGTGTCTTTCCGTTTTTCTCACCCATTAATACGGTTCTCCCAGCGTATAGAGAGGGTGGCTAAAAGGAACAACACGGTAACATATCGTGCAACTCTTGGCTTTGTTGCTTCGGCGGAAAACTTCATAACACACTATACCAAGAAAAACACACCGCTGCCCTAATTTAATACGTCAAGGTTTTCCACCTATTAACTCTTCTCGGCGAACCCCTGAAAACCTCCCCCTCGGAAACTCCAGTTGTATTGAGTTCTCCCGTCGCGACATCGTTTTTCCGCCCCGAGCAGGGAAAGTGTATAAATAAATTATGTATAGAACTCTCACTTAACACAAACAATATCATTACATCGCATTAATGAAAGTTTTTGTTGTTTGCTCGGGTAGTTTTTCCTCACAGAATACTCTCGTAGGGCGCAGCATTATTGTTGAATTATTAAAATTCAATTTTGCAAACACACCCAATTGTTTCATGGAAAAGGAGTGCAATGAGTTTAATTAAAAGTTACAGCGTGGAAATTATAGGGAAATGCGGGGTAGTTTTAATTCTTTCAACTATCATGATTGGTTAGACACTTGATTAAGCAAGTATAACTGAGATCCTAAATTGTGACTGTGTAACATATTCAAAAAATACGAGTCCATATTGTTTTTTAACCCTTTAACAAAAAAGCATTGGACTGAAGATCAAGTATACACAATTGTCTTCTCTCTGCCTTAGTGCCGTTCCCTTGCTTCGCGATTATCTAATCATGAGGCTAGAGAAGGAGAACTGGCAGAAAGTAATAACGTCACGCAATTTCAATTACGTGTTGCCTCGCGAGGCTCACAATTGTGGGAGGATTTCGACCATCAGGGAGTCACTCTTCCCACTCTCTCTGTATAATTGTGTGTTGTCTATTTCCACCCTGTTGCGTGTGCAAAAATGAGCGAAAGCCATAGGGATATAGCAAAGGATGAAGTGCCATAAAAGCACCACGCGTATGTCATTTGCTTTTCATAGAGAAAATTTCTCATCCCTCTCAACACAACTCTCAATGTCACTCTTGAAGTGGACTTTTACTGGTGGAAAAAGAATACTTTAGTACATCCTAAATTTATTATTAACTTATGCTAAAAGTCATTGGCTTTTTCCTTCTGTGCTGTTATCAACGAAGCTCGCAGTGTTTGAACAAACATATTAGTCACTATTTTGAGGTCGACCCTATTTATGTAAATACACCGGCGTGTATTTTTATATTGAAACTACGAAACAGTCACACATATTTTCCTTATCATAGAATTTTCACATCATGTCATTTCTGTTCTTCCCCTCTCTGTGCATGTGTTTGTGTACACACCATTTACACGGTTGACCAGACTGAGCACAGAATTAAGTTAATACAATATTGAAAGAAGGAAATTACATGTTGACAAAAGACATTCTTTAACAATTGTGGGCGAAAATGAAGTTTCCAAAATAACATGAAAAAATCTGTCCAAAGAGATGAAAATAGAAATCGTTTTATTTGATCAAGGCTCGACAATTTTATAAATATAATATTAACTCTTTTGCCTTGGGACCGGCAATTTTCAATTTTATAGTAATCATGAGGAGTTTGAAAGAATTGGGCTGAACAAAAGACATAGAAAATAACAAAGGATGTGTTGATACTTTTGTCAGTCACTGTGTAAAGCAAAACTACATGGATTGCATGTGATGCATATTATCGGAAATTTCATGTCAGTCCGTATAAAACACGAAGCACTTTCGTATCGTTTACTCGAGTGTCTGCTAAATGTCTCAACCTCGGACTTCTTCATATTTAACCATTCATTCTTAACTCCTCGCGTCATTGAATATTTAAGATACGTTGCTTTTTTTATAGCACAATGAAGACATTGCAAAATGAATCTATATCAAGCGAATTGCTCATTAATTAACCTTATTATCTACCTTCAAAGTCTTATCACTTATGTATAATGTATGTCTATCGCCTTGTCTATCGTTCACTTTGCTATGCAGACTGAGCGGAAAATTTTACCAATCAGACTAAATAGAGTCCCTATCATTGCAGAAAGAAAGTCAATGCTATAAAGAAAACCGGCGGAATTCTACCAAAGTATATGACGAAAAAACCGCAAAATCTCAGCAATACCAGTGGCTTTTTCTATATGCGAGACATCGCAATGTTTTCCGAAAGAATATGTAATATTCCCATTTAAGTCCCTGCAGATTTTGCATTAAAATTTTGACACACTTCAAAATTTATTATCACCCTTTTAAGTGCTTTCGTGTTGGGTACTTTATTGTTGATTTGTTATCTTCGGACTGTAGCATTGAGAATTCATAGAGCTCTCTATAAGTTTAACTGCTTCAGGACGGCAGGAAAACACGACATTTCTGCACACACTATAATTAACGTAAATAACTTTCAAACAATCATAAAAACAAATGAAAGGTGTAAAATACTCTGCTGAACAGTTACAGTTAATTAAGTGTGATATATAATAAATTTGGAAGGAAAATAAGAAAATACGTGATTTCTATATAAAAGTGAGAGCACAGGAAATAATTCAGCCTCAAAATGACTATCCAAAATCGAGATAAAGAGGTAAGTTTGGAATTAAGACACTCTAAATAATTCATCATAACAATACCGACAAAATTCATGAAATATTCACTGAGAGAGGAGTTTTAGGGAATTTTGGAAAACAAGCTTTCTCGTCAAAGTTCTACTCACACATGATGATTTTTTTTGTTGATTTACAATGAACAATACGGACAATATCAGCAAATTTGTTGGTGTTTGCTAACAGTTTTATGATCGTTCTTATTGCATTGAAATTATCTAATCACCCAAAATTTTACGTCTCCCACAATTTATATCGATTGATTGTGACTATTTATGATGAGCAGTGTGTGTAATTTGGGCAATCGCAATCGTGATAGTGGAATTCTTTTCCCCTAAACCCGTAGTACTTCTTCGCCTGCGTCCTTCAATGTTCATTTGCCTTCGTTCAAACTTCATGTACTTACAGATAGCACTGTGAATTTTTGCACGCGCCACTTGAACGTACTTATATTTCAGGTCAGAGTAAAAGTTCGTGATGTTATCTAAAATTTCTCGATAGCAGCGAATTGGAAGAATCTTGAGAAGGAGGAAATCACGACGCTAGTAAAACCGCAACATGTTTCCTGCACTCTCGCTATCGACATCCAAAAAACATGTCAATAAATGGAAAAGTTTTGTGCATTTGTGTGCAGACTTGATTAGAACTCTTACAAAACTTTACAGTTTCTTCACACACGCATTGGATATTTTCTTTGGTTTGTTGAGTGCTCTAAAAAACACACACTAAAAGAATGCATACTCTTTGGTTTTCTTGATTTCTCTGCGTCTCGGCAAATAAAACCACGTCAAAATTACTCTCTCTCTCTCTCACTCTCATACTGGTCATGTACATTTTCTACACTACACATTGTACCACGAATGGTGTAAAGCGTGTGTTCGTGAGACTCCCCATTTCAATACAATTGAACACGGTGAAACAGAAAGTCTCTCAGAGGCAACACAAGCACGAGAACTGAACAGTGTTTTAGGTTTAGTGTGTAAGTTACAATCAGTTGAAAGACATCCGTCGGACGCCACAAACGTGTTTTGTGCTCATTTTTTGAATAGTGGAATCTGTCCCATAGATTCTCCAGATCCAACTCTTTCTCCGAAAAGAAGGTTTTGAGACAAGCAAAAGACGTTGAACACAATGCAAAGTTGAGTTTTAATCACCGTGAACGGTTTAGTGAAGTTACCAGAGATTAAAAGAATGCCCACAGTCACGATTCATGGGCATTGACGACTCAAGTACAGTGAGACTGATCAGTGCGAGTTTGACTAGTTTGACTTCTTGCAAATTGTTTCGTTTGCCAAAAAATTCGCAACGAAAGAGTGAAAAGATTGTCTTTGTCGCGAAGACGCTGTTTTTCCGAAATGGCAAGCAATGGACTACTGTCGCAAGGCTTGACTAGACTAAATAAGCCCTTCTGCAACTACTCGTCCTGGATGCGAAGAAGACAATATGAAGTATGTAGATAATTGTCTTATGTATGTAGCTTTCATGCTCAACTTCACAAGAGGGTTCCATTGAAGGAAAAAAGAGTGACTTAGCAATTGGGTTTAATTTTTCCATTCTGTCCGTGTGTCTCTCTCTCTCTCTTCACACCATTTGGCTACACTTTGCTTGGTAGAGTCAACAAGAAATGTGCCCTCCCGGAAAGTCATATGACATCGTGCTCCTCATCTGAGACTGTGGAATAACACTATCAAGCCATAAAGTGCTTTTTTCGCGCATTAGTTTCGCAATTTGTCCGGCTCAGAAGAAAATTTTCCAAGGGAAAAGTTTTTCCCGCCACTTTTCACACCAAATATACTATGCGATTGAGTACGCAATGGATGAAATGAAATCATAACCTTTCCGCCTTCTCTAGCCACCACTCTTGATCATGTGGAAATATGCGGACAATTTAACAATAATGAACTAAAGTAGTAGAAAACTAGACATGGTAAAAAAAAAGATAATTTCAACATGACGTCGTTGCATAACACCGCACTGCAAATTGCACTTTCATGAGTACACATCATCATCGATAGGCGACAAAATGTTATGCCTTTATCTCTCCTTTATTATCAAATTTACAGCCTTCTCGCTGAACAGATTTTTCCTGGTTGGCGAGAAAAACATTGGTAACAGAAAAAAGTCAAATCACTGTCTCGGCAGAGAAGCTAAATTAAGCGCACATCATCTGTCTCTTTCGGTATTTTTCTCTCTTTCAAATGAACTGCGTCTTTCGCAAATTAATATCAAAGAGTGGGGAGATGCCAAACAAGCCTCATAGACGACATACTATTACTCCAACAGTAGGCGAGTGCACGTGAACTTGAGAAACATCCGAAATTGCCTCTCATTCTTAACTGTGCGCATTACAAGAGGATTAAGAGTATAGAATTCAATGCAAATATTGCCATTTCTCGCGTTTGTGTGCAATTTGTCTTGAATTTCATTGCAGTGAATAATGTGTGCTTGAAGGCTTCATCAGCACAGCGCGAAGTGAAACATTTGTGACTTTGTGGAAGAAAAAACTCCGGAAGGAATGCAATAAATGTGGAGGGGAAAATGACGAATGTTGACACACAATTGGATTTTGATGGAGAGAAAAATGTGTCGAATCATCCGAAAAGCGTAAAATCACTACTAAATATAGAGATTCACTCGGAAGTGGGTATTACTCGATGGTATAAATATATCTGGTAATCCAAAGAGGACAATGACTGTGTGGATAGACGCAAAATTCGTTTAGCGTTGTATAATCTTGTGGAAATGTGATGTCAAAACTTCAGTGACGTCGGAACTTCTTGGAAAGCAATCCGTCTTGAGTTGTGCCAATTTGACGTGACGATTTTAACTGAAAACTCACTGTAAATACGCAAATTTCTCGTATGCTTTCAAATGTATTATGTATCAATAATAACGTGTACATCCTAAAATAATTAAATTTTCATCGTTTTAAAACAGCATTTTTAACCACTTCGACTGGAATGAGTTTTAATTAATTAATTAATCTTTTGTGTGGTGGAAATTGTATGTAAAAGAGTTACGTAAATTCTCTCCTAATATCTGCAACCTCAGAGGTTCTTAAGTTTATTCACGATTTAATCAAATTACTAAGCACCACTGCAAAGTGTACATTTTAATAGTCGAGAAGAATGAAATTGCATAATTCAACTACGAAATCTTCCATCTGACTTATCTCTCCATGTGTGTTTGCTTACATTGGCACAGAGTGAAAAATAATGCTAATTGACTGAGACTGAATAACAAACTCTCCTCGAAGTGGCATCCAGAGCAATGTCATTGAGTCATGAGTCAATCTTCAAGAATAATTAATCAATTTGGATGGAGAAATTTTCCTCAATAAATCAATGAGGAGAAAATTATGCTTTACGTGTGGCACACCCTCAAATTACAGACTGGCTCGAGCCATCTGAAATTCTTTTTCTCACAGTCCAGACTCGCGCGTACTTTCGCTCTTTCACTCAAGTGCACAATCAGGGGTGTTTTTTAGGTGTGTTTTATGTTGCTGGAAATTCGATGCTTTATCTTTGACACCCACGAGTTTGGCTTCTCTCATATCGAAATACAACTGCGTCACATATCTTCTTATCATTTGACGCTATCACGAGGTGGAAAAGCATTTGAAAAAAAGTGAATTGAATATCTCTAAAACTTGATGAATCACGCTCGAGTGGAACTCATGGTCAAAATCTTATGACTTCTCTTCACTTCTCGTCTCGTGCGCGCCTTTCGCAAGAGCCACAAAGTATCGGAATCGGAGAAAAAATTCAAATGCCGATAAGGGAATCATATTATGATAACGCGCAATGAGTACACGATTCCACCATATTTTACACCTCTAATTAATAGTCGCGCAAAGTGATCGAATAACAACACAACTCTTTCTTTTCGCAGGAAGTACCTGACGAATTCGAGCTGCCTTACCACAACAACCATCAAAGTGAAATTGTCGATTCTAGCGGTCAACCTGTTATGATCAAAATAGACGTGCCAGTGCCTTTACGTGATGAACCGCGATTCCCGAAGGAAAAGTGGAAAACATTTTACTGTGAGTCAATCTAATGTTGCTCTCAATCAATGTATTCTAATTCCCCACCATTCGTTATCTTGAATCAAACATTCCGATATTTTGTTTCCTGTTTCGTCTCGTTGCCACAAATTGCTCAAATGCATTGAGTGTCATTGTGCAAGTGCAGAGAAGAAGTGTTTATTCTCTGTACAATTTAATAAATTGACAGTGATTTAGCGGTTTTCGGTTGTATAATTTGTTGTAATTTGTTCCAAAATAGAATGACGATTACGAGGAAAAAGCTCTTGATTGTATAGTGAACGAGTTCATGAAATAAAAAAACTGTCAATGTTCTGCTATGACGATTCTGATGTGAGTCATTCTGCCAGTTAACCAAATAAACAATTATTCTGCAAATTGAGCAACAAAAGCGCGTTACAAAAATTGTGATTATTTATTCAAGTTTATCAACATTTTCACAGTAGAATGGAGTGAGTTTTTAGTACAACTGCCAATCTCTTCTCCTGTGAAGCGGAAGAAAAGGTTAAATTCTACACTCAATATGCAAAATATTTACCACTTGTTCGATGCAGAAAAAAAACTTCATTCTAGAGCGTATTTGAATTATTTGGTTAATTGCTGAGAAACGTAATGCAATCCAACATGAAAACTTGTACAGCTTCAGAGCTGTATATAGATTGAATTTTGCAACTTTTCCTTTTTCCGTCTCACATTCACATAATGACGAAGAAGGTGGTTTTTAAATTGTGAATTATCTTTTTACGCTGACTTTGTGGCGACTTATTGATTTTCCGCTATTCAATTTTAAAGTAGTGAAGGAAGCACAAGCCATGGACAGTATCAATGTTGTGTGTTGAGTGGTGGAAATTCACACAGAAGGCTTTGTCTATAATAACACATTCATCTCTTCACAGCATTTGTGATATTAGTCGTCAACTTCATCCTGGCCACTGTATCACTGTCGCTCGTGCACGAGAGACTGCCGGATCGGGAGAAGTATGCGCCCCTGCCGGACGTTGTGCTGGACAATGTGCAGCAAATGGACTGGGCGCTGGATGTCAGTGAAATTCTCATCATGCTCGGCGTGAATTCCTGCATCCTCCTTATCATATTCCACAAACATAGGTAACACTATCGCAACCCCAAAACCCTCTTATCAAGCAATATAATTTATAACCTCTCGTTTTTTCCATCTCTCTAGGTTCATTGTAATGCGTCGCGTTTTCCTCCTGATGGCACTTCTCTACCTCATGCGCTCCATCACAATGTACGTTACGGTCTTGCCGGTGCCCAACACGACGTACTTCTGCAGTCCAAAGTCCAATTCAACGACGCCGCTCTTGATCGCCAAGCGCGTCTTTCAGCTCCTCTCCGGCTTCGGGTTGTCCATCAACGGCAAGCACACCTTCTGCGGTGACTACATTTACAGCGGTCACACTGTCATGCTTGTTCTTGCCTATCTGATTATCAGCGAATGTAAGTCGTCAAATCATGGGAATTTTCTTTCAAATGATTCATCAGTGATTTTTACGACATGCCATTGAAATTGGTCATTGTGAAGCACAGACAATTGTTTAGCTGAAGATTGGATGAATGAAGCCATAAACGTAGAGACTTAGCTTAATGATAAACATCAAGATAATAACTTTAAGACTACTAGAAGAATTTGGAGAGTTTTTTATTTTTAAATTGATACAGAACGCCATGAAATCCTGATTTTACTCTCAACGGAGTCATTTTTCAGAACTCGCAAGTTTTCAATTTCACAACTATGAGACTCATTTACGTAATCACAGCTCTTTAGGTCAGAAAGATATTGTCGAGGTCAGTTCTAATGATAATTTCCATTGAGAATTTTTACTATTTTCTCTGTTGTGTATTTTATTCAATCTTTTAAGACGGCAATGCAGAAATTATAATGAATTTTTTGGAGAATCTTATTCACATGCTGTTTTTGTTCTAGATTCGCCGAAGCGCTTCTACATAATTCATTGGGCGGCTTGGCTGAATGCTCTTGTCGGAATTATAATGGTAAGTCTTTCTGTCAGAGTCCACTTCTTAGCTTAGTTTCTGATTGTCTCCTCCTTGTCACCTTCGCAGGTTCTTCTGGCGCATGGACACTACACGATCGACGTACTTATTGCATACTTTGTGACAACGCGCCTCTTCTGGCTCTACCACACGCTGGCCAACAATGGCCAACTCCTCAAGCAATCCCCCAACAACTACCTGTGCCGCGAGTGGTGGTTTCCCTACTTCCGGTACTTCGAGAAGAACATTAGAGGTCCCGTTCCGCGACAGTATGACTTTCCCGTCTCGTGGCCGAGGCGATTCTTCAGCAAACTACCGAGTCGCGAGAGTTAACACGCGTCTGTGCCACGATTCTGAAGACAATGTGATGAAATTGTGTGATGCGTGGAACGATTTTCGTCTGTTTGCCGCATAAAATGGGAGAAGGTGTGCCACAAAAGTTAGAATATGGAATAGTAATTAAGTATAATGTCTCTAATAATTGTGAAAGTGAGACAAGAAAATTTTCTTTGCAAAAAATACTTCATTATTTAGGTGACAAATTGTAAAAAGAATTAGAGAGAGGTTCCAAGTCATTGTTAAGCTATAGCTTCGAGCTCTTATTTTCCAAATATCCAGACTTTGGGCGATTCTTACGTTGTGCAAATTTGAATTAAATCTTCTTTAAACTGTGGAAAAAATGTGCAAAGTATTTTTGACGCCTTTTTCAATGCTTTGAATGGAGAATATGAGCTTGACGACGCTTCGCAAGAGGCATTTTCTACCTCAAAGAACATCCTCAAAGATATTCTGATGCAATTGATAGAGAGAGAAAAAAAGAAACAATGGCAGTTGTTAAGGAACTCACAAAGTCTGAATTTATTTTCTAGTATTTCCGCCTTAAATTTGTAATGCTAGCCGTAAGTAGATATACAAATAAACTTGTTATAGATATTTAAAAAGAGATACTTTGTATATCTTTTAAGAAAGACAAAGATCATAATTTTATAAGGAATTGTAAATAGGATAAGAAAGAATTATATATGTTAATTTGGGAAGTGAAAGAAGATTTGGAAAAGTGATTGAGAGATACAAATTCCTCTTGTGAGTTAAGAAAGCTTTAGTCTATGTATATATCAGTCTTACAAAAATGTTCAAGACACAATTTTATCGTGATTCAATTGACCAAAATGACGAAATCTTCATCTACATTCTTATAATGTCTGTACAGGTTATCATAAAATGATCAGCAAATATGTAAAACATTAATTGAGAGATAATCCTGAAGTAAATGTGCAATTATGTTAGGAAAAGAATTGATGGTGCAACCAAAAATATTGTCATTGACTCACCTCAAGTTCATAATAATCTTTATGAGAAAATTACCTTGTCATCTCTTCATCTAACATTTTTGTTAATAAGAGATTCTGTATAAATAAAGTAAAATAGTATGCATTTCAAACATAAATGTTTCATGCTTCGTTTTATCAACGAGTGCAAAATCAGGTAAGTTTTTATATTTATTTGATAATCTGTCTACACATTTTGTAATCCCTTCGAAGGATCTCAATGATTTCATATCTCTTAAATTCACACTTGCGGTCAGTTAACGTCCAATGGCTGTTTCAGCCTCTGTTTCCAGACAGATCTTCAATCAAGTGGCACAATCGATTCAATTATGAAGTCGAAAACCATGCTCTGTCATTCTCGAGAAGTTCCTTGACCTCGACCTAGTGTGTTCAATTAGAGAAGAAAGGAAAAAAAAGAGAATGAAGGGAAATCTCAATAACAGTCGTCTGAAAAATATTCATGTTGAGTACCGAAATCGCCCACAAGAGGTCAGCCAGTTCTAGCCAAGACACATACCACATTATTATAGTAAAGCTCTGAATAGCTCTTTTCCTATGAGCTTTTGGGTTTGAAAAGCATCAATCCTGAAGAAGAAACGAATCATCATTGAGTAAAATACAGTTGGTTCATTTTATAATGATTTTATTATATAATATTTCTTTTCTCAACTTTTTATTCGTAAATTATGATTATTCTTTTAAAGGTAAATCTAACCAGAAAATTTTCTTTATCCTTATTCTAAAGCATTTATTAGCTAAAAATCTAAATTTTATGTATGACTTTTTATATGATTCAATTCACGATTTTCTTTTAACATCCCTTTTTTTATTTTAAAGTGATATTCTATATACAAAGTCTCCTAAATTCTCTATATTAAAATTATTTTGTTTACTCCTCTTAGTCAAACAATAATTGATTCGTATAGAATTGACTTATGTGTAATGAAATGGATCTTAATATATACATTATAAGAAAATTTCTTCTTTCTTTCTTCCTCCATGAGAATGGAGAATTATATACTCTTTAGTATCTTCCGTAAACATTACTCACGCTTATGCGGTAGGTAATAATATAAAATCGATTTCTTAAGAAATACACATTATTAATAGAACTCATTAAAAAAGTCTATCTACATTTTGCATTCCTTATCTTATGTACATTATATATCATTTTATTTTAAATCTTTTTCACAAATCAGTCGAGTTGTTTCTTTAATATGTATTCTAAGCAATTATTTATAATAGAATTGAGGGAAAAATTCGTAGAATAGTTTCTTGTTACAAAGATCTCTGTACATTGTGTACAAGAAGTAATATCAAATGCCTAGATTCTAAATTAAAATATTAAAGCAATCATAATGTTTCTAGGAAACCTAAATGTTAGGTTAATCAGTGTGACAAAAATGCTCGTTGACATGTTTGGAATTGAATTTTAATTGTTATACCGAATGAAGAGTGTGTAATTTTTGGCTTATTGGCAATCATATGACAAGTTCGTAGTTGAAGCCTTATGAAATAATTTATGTATGCGCCTAAAACTGTCCTACTTTTGAAAATCGATTCAGAACTTTCGCAAATATCGACAGATTTACATAACAGTAAAAAAGTGGATTTATGTATAAGGAAAACTGCATATGCAATGTTGAAATTGACTCAATAAAAATTTTATCATCAGAATTTTTGTTATGAGAGCCCTCAAAGTAATGCAACGTAACGTGCCAAACATACATATGTTTTCACATTCACATACTTTTGTCTAGTTGCAATTTGCTTGTAAATGGAAAAAATCTGTTTTGGTCGATAATTCTGAATTTTTCATCAACAAAGTTTGTCATTTTGTGAAATTCAATCAGAAGTATTACACTATCATTCTGCTGTTATCTCGCCCTTTGCACTCATCGAAGACCACGCATAATGTATAAGCTAAAGAGCCTAAGATATTTGTTCTTCCAATCCTAACTATAACGTTAAAGTAATGTAAAGCACACGATGATGATTTCAAGTATTTAAAAACTTTCTTAATTTGTTCAAGTCTGATATGAGACAATGTATATTATAAATGTTTCGACAATATTCGATTCAATTTTTCTTCCTTTTCTGTCTATTTTAGAATCACATTATCTGTTTTTAGTAGTCGAAGAAATTAGCAGTGAGGAGGCAACACGAGATTTCTTGTTTTAAATTTCTTTATCTCATTTTTCCTAGTAATTTTTCTTATGTACATATTTACAATACAGGTTTTTTTCTCAAAAATTCTGTCAGATTCTTTTTTCTACTTAAAGGAGAAAATTTAATTTTCTTCTCAAATGGTAACAATTTATTTTTTCATACTGTCCAAAAAAAATGAAGGGTTTTCTTTTCGGGTGAATTTGTTATTTTTTCTTACAATACCTGCAAAGAATATACTTTCAATGAAATCTCAAACATTAAATCCAATAATTCATCTAATATAATACTCATCAATTTGTAGATAAAATACTTTTTCGTCATAATCCTTAACAAAGGCCACGCAAAACTCTTGCTGAAGTTTTTTAGTTTCAATTATTCTTTTCCATTTGTCTGTTATTTTGCTGCTTCAATCCTGTGAGAAATGGAAGGACTTTTTCTTTGCAAAAAATATTTTTGCACAAAAAGCATTCTATGCTCCTTCATGTGTAAATTCGAGAGAAAGTAATTTCCTTCAAATTGACACACTTTCAAAATCGCCTGTTATGTTCATTTTTTTCTCCTTATTGCAAAAATTGTGAATAAATGTCTGTTGTAAAACCTTTCAGAATGACATATCATCAATTTTAACATAAAATTTCGATGACTTTATCAATTCGCTATCATTGTGATTCAAATGACAATCTCGTTGATATGAACCAACATGCTTGATTAATAAATTTTTAATTTACTTGGCAGAACTGAATTGAATGTATATACATTAGTATTAAGGCCACATGACAATCTTTCTTTATGTAGTACATCCATCTGCATACATATTCACATTACGTCGTTTCAATAAATAGGGGATATTATGTACAGACATTACATTACTTTAACCGATAAGCACACGATTATACACTTAATCCTTACAAACTCGTTCGTCTTAAATTTCACCGAGATGTTCTATATTTCCTTGACCTTGATAAAGTCAATGGAAATGCACGAAACACTTAAAAATCGAGATATTAAATGATGCACTTACATTACACGCACACGATCTTGTTCATAAGCATCGCCTATTTACGGTTCGGATTGAAATATTGCAACATTTAATTAAAGAAAATATTACCTAATGCAAGATTCCTTACGAATAACATTTGTTCTCTTTTTTTGTTAATTAGGAAATGAAGGAAATATCACTCTACGCACTGAAGTTTTCTTTTCGAACATTTTTTGGCATTCCTTATCCAGCTGAATAATAAATAGGTCCTTATGCAGTAATGAAAAATATATAATCTGAACTTTATGCTTCAATTTTCCATTATTTTAAAAATTTGGGAAATTATTTATATTGTGTATACTTTTAGTTTTAAATACGATTTAAATAAATTGTGTGAAAGATTTTTTATAATTGAAATCTATTTCAATCCGGTGTAGTTCGTCATTTATTTTTCTTCCATTGTCAGATCGAGGCATACAAGAGAGAGAAGAAACGTTTTCGAAAAACGGTTTTCTCTCTATTTTCCTTACTTTCTTGCTTACAAATTCATATGATTCTAAATCACGCGAAAAAGGTGATTTTTGTACGTTTGCCAGCTGTTTTCAATCACGATTTTTGGAATTCTTGAAAAATTGGCAAAATTTCCCGAAAATACTTGATATTCTTGAAACAATACTTACATTTCTGGATATTCGCAATTTTTGACGAGAGAAATATTCGAATATCAATGAATTGGAAACGTTAATCATTCTCCTCTGTAATGTACGCACTTTCTCTGCTGGACGAAAGAACAACGATTTCTGTCAATTCGTCGACTTTCTAGTCTTTTTGCATTCGGACCTCTGTATGGAATTTCAAGAGCACACGCGACGCCCTTGGGCGCACAGAAGGACCTCCTCAGAAGTTGACCTTAGTATTGTCTTTGACACAGATTAAACCACTCAATAGCGCTAATGCTATTATCACATATCGACTTTAGCTGGGCTTTTAGACGTGCGTCGCGAGCGCGCCGGTCTTCTTCAGGTTGCCGTTGGCCGGCAGGATGAACTGACCCGAGCTGCTCGCCGACACTTGGCTGGGAAGGAGAGTTGTTGTGCTGCCGCCGCCCAGGCTGCCCACGCTGCCGAGACTGATGCCACTGGAGCCAGATGTGGTCGTGGTGGGCGGCGTCGCCTGTGTGAGCCGCGTGGCGGCATTGTATGGCGGGGGCGCCGGCGTTGCGGCGGGATTAGCCGTACTGGGCGGCGGGAGGGGCGGGAGAGAGGCGTTCGATGTCCGAAGATACGGATTTCCGTATGTGGCACTGTATCGTGGATCTATACTAAGGCCGTTCTGCAGAAGTGGTTGTCCTGCGCATGGAAAAGCGTGTGAATTAATTAGTCCATCAGCTAAAGGAGAGGTTGAATGTTTATCAGTTAAAGTGTCGCTGTGTTTATATAAATTATCGGGCAGAAAGGGTGAGTTTTATGTAATTATCCAGCCCAGTAGTGAACGGAGCATTTTACAATCGGGTCGGATAATGAATGAACAAGTGAATTTATTCTTTGTAAAAATAAAAATTAATGTCATTGGGTCACTTTGCCTCATTCCACCCTGCGAGGTTAACGTATTCATAAAAATTATAAAGTATAAAACATTGTGTTTGTAAACTTTTATGGACAATCTGTACATGAATATTTAACGTCAAATTGAATGAAAATATTTGAGGAGAATTTGAATAACAAGGCAACAATCAGAGAATTTAAAGGCTTTGAACGGTTTGAGCAGCAAATAAAGCTTTCTATGGTGGAGAGCAGCATAAGGGTTATTTTGCAGGGTGGCCGAGCATTCATAGTTTTGCATATGGGCACGAAGCATAAACACCTCATTGTTGCCCCACACTTTGTTCGCCACATTCCGTTGAGTGTGCGATCTCAAAAGTGGAAATTGAACCCAAGTTTTGAACGTGTTGGTGTGCCAACTTCAGCTGACTCAACAAGGATTTTCTTGCCAAACACAGAGTGAGACGAAAGTCATTTTCATGCTTCCCGTTTCTATTCTGCGTGTTGGAATACACCAAATGTTGGTGTGCATTCATACAATCCATCTCTCGTCCACATTGCATACTTACCGAGAAAACCATTCGGGAGCGAATTCAGACTATTCTGGACACTCGGTAGTCCATTATCTTGGCGCAGCTCCGTGGCTCTGTGGCGATTCAAACTGAAAGTGCCACCAGTTGGCAATTGGCCGTTCATGGCGGCACTCGATGTCCTAAGCGCCGTGAGAGTCTGCGGTGGTGGACTATAATCTCGTGCATAATCCACATAAGGTACATAGCCATTGTTGTTCTGGCCAGACTTCAACTGTTGCAAATGTCCTAATGGGTCCGTGTAATCTCCAGAGTACCTATAAATATACATTGGTGATTTCAGAGGAGCCACAACATCAGACAGTGTGCAATACTGCATGCCGTATACTAAGATAACACAGCATAATTATTAATACAGGATTGGCATTGGAGAAATCCCCTTTGTTCTCAATGAGATATGTAACTAAATGCACATATGGCAACGGTATCTCATCGTGCATGTTAAGCATACACAGTGTATCAATCGATACTACTCAGGAGAAAAATCCAACTGGAGGAATTTCAAAGATCGTCTCACCGATAGTCGTTGGGGATTTTGACTGGACCAGCGAGCGGAACGCCTCCGACTGTCGTTGTTCCTTGATTGGAGCCCAGAATGTTGGCTGCGAGGCGAGTGGCGATGCTGTCAGAGCCGGAGCATGTCTCTGAGTAGTCAGGCTCGCAGGACCCAGACCGAATGTCCACTTTTAGGTCACTTATGTTGGAAGAGCGGTCACTCTCTTTGCACCCCTTCTCAGAAATGTGGTGCTCAGGAATCACATCGGCCGGTGGCAGTTTCTTCTTGCCACGCTTCAGGAAGATACACAGGAAGATGACGACGAGAATTGTTATCGCCACCGACAGTCCCACACACACGATAATTATCAGGGAGGGTGCTATCGTTTCTGCATAATGATATCCAATTAGTCACGTTTTGTGCGGTTCAGCTAGAGCTGATATGATGTAAACGGGGTTATACTTACGTGGCAGGAGGTCAATTTCCAAGATATCATTGCCATAGTCATTCACAACGGTGCAATTGTATCGACCGAAGTGGCGTGATTGACTCTCACGGATTATCAGGGTGGATTTGATGCCTTCCGGAACTGGGTCTTCCAGTATTGAGTAGTCCTGATCGTTGCTCGTGTTGATTTCTCGCCCATTGAATGTCCACGAGACGTGGCGAGCCTTGGGCACTGAGAATGCCACACACTCCAGCCTCGCATTGTCCCCCACAATGCCATGCTGACGCTGGGCTGACGATATCACTGGCGGTCCCTTCAGGTACACCGTGGCTTCGGCCCCAATCTCCGGGAAGCCCATCACGCTCGCCTTGCAATAGTATCGCCCGGCGGTCTCTTGTGTCACGGTAACAGTGAAATTCGACGATGTCCGCACGACCTGAGGAAGAAAATTTACCTTTTTCACCAATAAACACGCATCAGTGCAAGAGTCATTGCAAGAATCCGAGAGAAATTCGTTTAAAATAGTTCTAATTTGAGGAAAGGTTAAAGCTGTCCTTTGGTTTAGATCTAAAATTTAAGTTTTCTTAGAAGAAGTGTACACAGAAACTGAAGGCATCTTGATTTAGGTCAAATTGCACTTCAAGAATAAATATGCAGAAAACGTTGAAAATGTGTCTTTATCTTATTTTACTCTAACAGAAGGAAGACAAACACAAATTTTGTATGAATAAACAACTAAAAGAGTCGTGAAGAATGTGGAAAATGTTATTTTATAGTCAGCTTCCAAATAATGAATGCCACAGTTATTGCTATGCATAAGCAAATTTCCTTTCACAAGTTGTGCCATAAGTGAATTTGTGAGCATCTCTTTGATTTCCAGCATTCATCATATGGTAGCTTGATGTTATGCTTTGTTAAATCATTCAGGGAAACTTACTCGATCCGCCGGATCGTGGATCCACACAATATCCGGAGTCGGATTGCCGTCAACGTCACAGAACAGTGACACCTCTGTGCCAACGTCGGCCTCCACGGACTTCGGGCGCGTCCTGAACGCTGGACCATCTGTATGGAGAGAAGCGGGGGACAAAATGTGAGCTATATGAGAATGATGAGTTTGCCAATTAATTATGGTGGGTTTCCACGCAATATCCCTCTAGCATGTGATGTTTACAATAAACACAAATGATGAGAAATGGACTGGGACGGGAAATCATCCCCAATTTTAGGGGGCGCACTTTGTGAGAAATGCAAATCAATTGGTGACACACCATCCCCGACACTTACAGCTAATATCCAGAGTTTCGCTCTCCTCGCTCTTCCCAACGGCGTTGTGGACTTCACATTTTACAATGGCATCGTGAAATTTGCGCGTGATGTTGTGGATTAGCTGGAAATAGTTACGAAAGAGGGACAGCATGAGTGACCAGGAACAATTTTATTTGAGTAAAATGCCGTTTTATACCATTTCGGTCGTATAGTCGCCCACCACAAGCTCGTCATTGATGTACCACCGATACGTCAGATCGTTGGGATTGGCGTCCGCGTGACAAGACAATCGCACTTCCGCGCCCTCGGGAATCCGACCGCCAGCTAGAGCGCCTCCAATCACAGAAACTGTCACTTTTGGTGCATATTTCACCTGCAAAAACACAATTCTATGGTCAATATTAACGCCAGACAAGATTGTTTTTTTCTTGCCACTGATGAGATCATTTCTGAGCTTTCAACGGGAAAAGTGTTAATCGAGGAATAACATATTTGTGTATGAACATCATTGGCCCCTGACTTTTTTCCCCATCCTGATGGTGTAACTATTCTGTGCAAATTGAAATTCCAGAGGAGTGATATGTGTGCACATTTAGTGGTTTTCCTTCGTCAAGCTACATGTAATGGATTGCACATATGTACGTACCTCCAATTTCAATTTAGCCGCTCGATATGTTCGATCGGCGGTGTTTTGCGCTTGGCACGTGAATGTTGTGTTATGATGCTCCTTCTTTGGAGTCAATTTCAACACTGATTTCGCAGTGAAGCGTCTCGAATCCGGCAGTGGTTCCTTCATGTAATCTATTCCGGCCGTGAGTACGTTTCCCAAGCCATCAATCCACGTAATCTAAATATTTCATAGAGAGAGGGAGGAAAATCGAGATGAGCAAAACACTTGAATGGCTATATCAACGTGAGAGGAAATTCTTATCACAGGAATTCATGTTCTCGCCTCCCTGGCTTCTGGACTGGATGTGGATATCGGGTGTCTGTGAGCAAAAGTTCAATTACCTCAGCCGCTGGCTTTCCCCCAATAGAGATGCACTCTAATTCTATTTCACGATCTTCTGTGGTCACCATAAAATCACCTTGAATTATTTTCGGTGGCTCTGGCGGCACGAGAACCGTCAATGTGGCAAAACGTGAACGAATTCCCAATTGACCTGCAGGCAAAACACCAATATTCAGCGACCACTATATCTATAGCAAGGGGCAATAATCATACCATCTGCACCCGGTCCGACTTGGCACTGATACTTGGCGTCATCGTCCAACATAACGGGATACACGTCCAGCGAATAGTCACCCTCCTCATCGCTACCCACCATCGAATATCGGTCGAAGCCGCTCAAGTTGCGATGGGTGCCCAGGCCAAAGTCGTCCTTTGTCCACTGAAGCATGCCCACCTTGTCAATCACGCGACACGGAAGCGTCACGCGTGACCCGACGATGGCAGTCTGGTCCTGTGGCTCCATGGCGAAGCGCTGTCCATGCGACTTCCCATTGGTGCCCACCTTAGCGCCCCACGTCGTCCGCAGGAGCAGCACCAGCAGCAGGATGGCGCCACAATGAATCCTCACGAATCTCTCACGTTCAGTCGCAAGCATCTTAATGGTCTAGAAAATCCCTTCGTTGACTCTGAGAATAGCACTTTTCCCCGATAAATGCTCTTCACCGTTGGAACTGGAATTGAGGAGAAGACGGAATACAATTTGATGTACATATTATGTATGAATGTAGCAGAAATACATAATTTCAAATGCAAATTTAATGTTCTCGTGTAGAGTTTGGTAAACCTAAAATATTAAACTGAATCTTATCTGTAAGATAATGACAGTGAAGCAAAACTTATTGATTTATACCATGTTATAACAAAATTTCCTTTTTGATTTGTAAATTACGAACTATTCCTAAATAAACTACACGATATATACTGGCAAAATCTGCACCAAATTTCATTGACTTTAAATTGATCTTCTGAGAATTTATAGAGCTTTTTACTAATCCTTTATCTAACTAGTGTATTCGGACAATATTATTGAGATGTTCCGAGAATTGCAATCATACTTTGGCTATTAACCCAGTAATGACGGTTCAAAGTTTGTATCCAACTTTCAATGAAATCTGCCACAGCTTGAATTGGTCTCCAAATTCCCATGAGCTTATGCGCAGCGAGTACTAAACTACAATTCTATTTAATATAATAACCTTTTCATGACTTGTGACAATTGCAAATTTGAAAATGTTGAACATCTAAATCAAATCATAGCCGTATTTCAATGCCTTTGATGTGCAAAATCCTCTATGGGGAAATATATAGAAATATTAATTAAGCTCTACACTCGTGATGGATGACCATAATCCGATTATGGAGATAATATGTCAGAAACTGGTTGAGCTTAAGTATTTCTACGAGAGCCAGTGTGTTGCTCTAAACAGTGACGGAATAATATTCTCTCCACTTTCCTAATAACCTTTTAACTGGACCTGGAAGATTTATGCAGATGCATCGGTGGTGGGTTTTGGGGGTTTCGGGATGGTTCGGAGGATGCACAGCTCCTCACTCGTATCGTATGCAGAATTGTGAGTTTAATTAAATTCAATCAGAGCTTAAGCTCTCTCCGCACACACAAATATAGAGACTTGCAAGGGCTCATCTTCCCCGTCTCGCACTCCTAATAAATTAGAGTTAACACCAAAGTGTTACAATCGACAAGATATTTTCTCCCATCTCAAATGAAGGAATTGGGGATTTGTACGGAACCCACGTGAATACATGTATGAATTTCTCACATCTCCCTTCACTTTATCCTATTCCAAAAACAAGAAATTCCATCGACTTAATATATGATTATGGTCGTTCACCGCACAGCATACATACATACATATGTATGTGCGTCTTTTGAGGTGGTGTTTGAGACTACCTGGAAAGTCGAGAGGGTGGCTGAAATATATTTTCATGGATCGATAATCTACATACAGTGAGAGAAAAATCACCTCACCTGGCGGACAAAAAAAAGAGAAGTAAAAATGCCACACAGTAGAATAAAGCAAATAAAATGGGAGGAGGAAAGTCTTATAAAGGCCTAAATGGAAAAATGTGGGTTGCTCATGACATGAATGCGCTACACACTCTCTTACCATCCGTTTTATTGTACTAAAATACAGCACATCAGGGGTTTTAGGACACACAAATCGCTTGCTGTGCCCTGAGCTTTTAAGTAATGTACGTTCTGGCCTTTTGTCGCACTCTTGTTACACTATTGTAACAACACGTAATTTCATAGACACTTCAAGAGATTGCGAATCAATTGTTATTGTTTATCACACGAAGGAATTCGTTAAAACTTTTCAGCATTTTATCACTTTTTTTCATGATGTATTCAGCTTTCACGCTTGCCTACATAGCATTGTAAATTAATATTTTTTTATTGGCATTAGCCCTCGTGTGGGTGTGCTTTGGGGGCGGCCATCCACTTACAATCCCTATCTTTTTGCCAGACGATCCACAATTGAGGTGCGTTCTGAGCAAAACACGAAATACATACAAGCTGAAATTATGCTGTGGCAATTAATATTCTTCGTGTTTTTGCCAAAAAGAAAATCAATTTTCATTATATTTTGAGGAAGAGAATGAAAAATGGAAGGAAAACCATGTGAGAAAGTAGGGGTGGCAAAACGAGCTTTCGTGACGAGCTAATTGGAGAAAATTTGCATTTTATCGCACATTTCCCTGATAGAATAAAGAAATACACTTATATACACTCATTTAAGTGGAATTGTCGAATTTAGGATGCATCGTAGATACACAAAAGCATACATAAGTGGTGAGAATGTACGAAAAATAAATAGAAAGGAGGAATTAGTTCTCAAATTTAACTCTTCTTGTATGTGCGGTGAGAATTGTTTGCTGATAAAATAATACGCATAATATACATTACAATATATTGCTCTTTGTCATATAAGAACCATATTACCCTTCACTTTTCTATATGTATTTGACAAATATTTGATCACATATATATATAAAAAAGGCCTTATTGGTAAATATTTTTATTTTCACCCCATCGGAAATATTGTGTTGAGGAAAATTTATATGTAGTCTCACAAAATGTGCCACACTAAATGGGACTTAAATCTTTTGGCATCGCATTGAATATTCATATACATATCATCTCGAGCACATCGAGAATTTTGTTTGTTTGGATGTGCTTTCAATATCAAAGTATAGTGTGTATTTGAGTATCATATCAATTTTCAAATTTTGTTTACTACCACGATTCTTCGATGTATATTTTAAGTAGGGTGTGTGTGCATAATACATGGAATTCATCTGTGGGAAGATAAATTCTGCTGAACTCATTCCAAGCACACGTGCCTCTCATTTTTAGCACGGACAATATCACCAAGAGGATCACTTACACACAAGCTCACGTGTTCCTATGGGGATTGAAGGGTTACAATTGTGATACTTCTTGCGCTCGATATCAAATTCCTTTCCAAAGCTAAGCTGGGAAGCGTAGATAATATGCATCATGAATCATATTTGTTAGTTGTATGTAAATTCTCACCCATTTGCTTTCCTTTCGCATTGTGTACACACTTGGTGGGGGATTTTAAGGGGTCGACAAGAGATAATATTCTGGATAAACTATTTGTATGTAGTCAGACAGCAACAAACAGGGTGTCTTAATACAGCTTGTCAACGGTCAAATCCTGTTCTATATTGCTCGGGAAGCTTATAAAATTCATCAATCTACGGCAGACATCTTTGTCATGCACGATAAGACTTATCAAGGGCCAAAACAGCCGCACAGGACGCAGGAAATATTTAAAAAATGCAAATTGTTGCGCTTCTGCCAGTGCGTAAGCCATGAAAATATTCACGCGGGGTCACGTAGATAAATCAGCGATGCTATGAGTGACATTTGCATATTGAAGGGGTGTGTGACTCCGAGGAGGGCTCTTGGCTTGAAAAATGCACATTGTTTGACATGTTATTCACATAAATCAAGTGGTTGCTGGTTCTTGTGTTATTTACCATGATATAACAATACCATGAACCAAAAATCTCATGCCAGTGGAGAGTTTTCGATGTCATCGCATCGCGATGGCATCATTTGGTTTGTTTTACCCATTCTCGAAAGCTTTCATCCCTCTATCGTGCACAAGAGTGTACATATGTCCATATATATATATATGGTTGAATTGAACATCAGCGGCGACAGAGTTTGCATTTTTAAATCGCACAACATCGGCATGACGGAATGGAGAACATGTTGGGGCCGCCGTAGGGGAAAAGGTTGAATGGAAAATATATTCTCTGAGCCACATTATGTATGGATAGGGAATGTCGAAAAAGGGATTTTCCACTTGAAGAGTCTATGGAAGAATGTCAACAGTAGTTGTTGTGAAAAACAAGACAAAAAGCAAAAAGCTCTACGTGTTACCTCTCCAATGAGCAATTTTAAAGTGTCCCGTTCTGCTTCGGTGACTTATCTGAAGCTTATGAGACTAGGATTGCAAATTCGAATCAAAATGCTACAAAACATACGTATATTGGGATATACAAATACATTCAGTACAGCGCGTGGCTAAAAATTGGGCAACTTCTGTTGGTTGGAAAATACTAGATTGAACAATAAATTCTGAATACACCCTCATAAAATCAAATCACATAGTTTTCTTCTAAACATTTCTATACGAAACTATCTTCAAATTCCCTGCATACCTATAGCTAACTATATTTTTACGTTCAATTTTACAGTAAAGTTACAAAGTTGTTAGAAGGATTCTGGAATTGTCAGATCATGAATTCAAGGAAATTTAATTACTAATCACTCTGATTTTCTATGCACAGTATAAATATTACTTTACATAATCAATTGAAATTTTTGAGTGCTTCATCGGTCGTGAAAAGTTCTCTTGAAATCGCCAGATGAGACCAAAAAAAAGTATTTAAAATATAATTCACTTAACTTCAACTTCTTGTGTTGTGAAAAAATTCGAGGAATTAAAAAACATTTTTTGAACATAGAACATTCAGAGCAAATGTTTTTTTTGGTCAAACTTACCGTAATTGATTATCATATAATGAAGTTTAGATCATTGCATTCTATCATCTCTAAGAGCCGCAAGAGATCTGAAAAGAAGAAGGACAATTTTAAAATCGCTGTTTTTAATTCACAAGTGAATCATCAGCACAAATTAAGTATATACAACATATTTAGGAGAGTCATGACGTGTTATCTTGAATCAATATAGGAATAGTTCACTTCCAAGAATACAAATATCTGTTGCTTCTTTAGAAACAAAGAAATTAGTTCCAAAAATTCACCTGTCAAACACAATTATATTTCATTCACAATTTACATATAAATCCATATATGCACATATGGAATTGTGTACATTTCTATGTATATGTATTCTCATAGAATATTAAGCAACCTTGCATTTTCATGTGACTAACGAATGAGAAATGTAATAAAAAGAAATTGCACACCCTTACGAGTTGGTGGAAAAAATTAACGCAAGAAATGTACGAAATGAATTTAACTTTAACAAGTTCCATTTATAGCTGTAAACAAAGTTTACTTCACTGGAACTTTCTTCCCATTCACCTTGTCGCTTGCACCATAACTTTCCTCTAGCACTGTCGCTTCGCTTTCCGCTTTGCCCCAGTCCAACACCTTCCCCAATGGCGAATATAACTCTGAGTGGGCTTCTCTTCCGTTACCTAAAACTGTGACAATTTGTCGGCTACAATGCGGAATAATTTCCGACTCATGGCTTGAGTGGTGATAGAGGCGGGGAGTTAGATGCAAGGCTAAAAAAGCCCCTTGTGAGTCATATCACAGCGAGGTGGGCAGATTTATTTGCACTTCACTGTCATTTAAATATTTTCAGGACTGTCTATCATGCTAGAAAAAAAACTGAATAAGCAGTATGATTGTTTTTTGCTGCCATTAGACTATTTGATGACAACTTAGAAAAGTCTCGCACCAAATATGAGTAAAAATGTGCATGTCGAGGAGTAAAAAAAATAGTAACAAGAGTTCCCCATTTATACATTGCACATTTTACATAAGCTATATAGAGTATATACGTACATATGTGCTCATAGGACAGGGAAAAAGTTCATCTTCTTCTTGTTATGCTATATATATATACAAATAACTTTTCAGCTCATTTTCACCATTGAGAAGTGGGATAAAAGGGAAGATTTCTCTAGGGTTGTGGCACAATTTTAATATTTCAGAGTGTTATAATTTACATAAAGATATATTCTCTTTAAATTAATTTTTCGAATGGCTGTCGGAAGGGTTCGCTCGCCCCATTGTTGCTCAATTGAGATTTGTGACACAAATTAAATTGTAAATTTACTGGAAGAAATCCTTGACTGATAATGTCATGTCTCAGCCCCTTTAATATTCGGGGAAGAGCTCCTGATTTGAACTGGAGAAATTTTCACAGAGCTCAGGAAAACGGATGACATTGCAATTAGTTTAAGCTTATCATTTTCGTTTTTTCCACGTCATCATTTTACTTTGGTTGAGTGACTTATTGTCACAGACACGAGAAGAAAGGAAAACTCCTTCAGAAAACTTACAGCGTCAGACAATATTGAATTGCTAATAAGACGAACTGTTATTTTCTTAAAACATGACTTTAACGAAGATGCTGAAATTGGAGATTTTGCAGCAAAAAAAGTGGAAAAGTTCGGCAAATATCTTCAAGCATCAAAGGATCAATTGAGTTGCCGCCCTATTAAGACGCAACTTTGTTGGCTGAACACTGGACATACAGATGCGAAAGGGCAAGGCCAACAAGTTCATAACAATAGTATTTTGATTTTATGACGCTACAATAAATATACGCACATTGAAGTAAAACAACTTTTGCTGAAGTTGAGTCATTCAAGAAGACAACTCATAGTCTGAATTGAGTTGTCATCATTCTGACAAAACTCTGACCCACTCACCCTGCCTCAACCCCTGCTTCTGGCGACTGAACCACAGATGCCTGTTGTCAAAGTGTCGTTCACTCTCCAATCATACTAAAGGCACACCATATCGTGCCTTCACTTGGATAAATTGTTGTTAGAAAGTACTTTGGCAATAAGTTTTGTTCAACTACAATGAGCCAAAATGAGAGTCTATTCGACATAGGAAGTTCAAATATATAGACATGCATATTAAAGTTTGCCAAGCAAAAATTTATACAAGTTGATTTGTCATTTGATTTTGTTCAAGAACTCCGTTCGTGCTAACGGAACTTGTTTGTGGTGAAAAGCTGCTAATTTATTTCCAACTAATTCTATACATAGAATAAATTTCTCTTCCATTCCTACGCGTTATGAACAATGTTCAATATTTTGGGGATTAAGTTAATCAGCTCTTATACACTTTCTGAAAAGTTCCGAATGGATATCTGCACTCTCGAAATTTTAATACAGAGCTGTTTGTAATAACGATAAAGCGTAAATAACTTCCACTTTCATCCCATCAGGCGTTCAGGATAATACTTATAAGGCAAACTACTAATAAGTAAGGCGGCTTTCATTGAAAATTTAGTTCAGAGCAACATTCTGTGAGACTGTCGCAACATGAGATAAGTATTATGAGATTTTCAGCGGGTAAATTTTCCACATAATACACTATACAAAAACAGTACAAGATATCAGGACATTCCTATTGAAATTAGGCATGAACACTATACAGAAACACTGTCAAAATTGTGACAAGTTGTATCGTTGACAGTGTCGGTTGACCAGTTTGCGATTGCAGGTCATACACAGTAAGTTTATCTCAAGAGATTACGTTCCCATTTCATTTAGAGTAAATTGACATTTGAACTTTATAGTCTGTGTTGGAGGAACCAGAAGCACCCAGAGTTCTGACATCATCTCCCCGAACCCAAACTTAATTTCTTCACGAATTTATTCATATTGTTGAATTTCCCCTGCTGACTAGCGAAATCTCTTCTGAATTTCACAGGGATTTCATGTAATATAATTTTCGTTTGTATTATCTTTTTCCCTCACTGGGTGTTCCATCCTCTCACATTCACTTTTGCAAATATGTTTTATGATTATGTCACAGCGGAGATGCGATGCTTCTGCCATGGTGGGTGTGTACCTTAGGGACAAAGGAGGAAAAAAGACGTTGCCAAAGTAATTGTCTTTCACCCACATTTAGCTTATTGGATGGCACATAAAAAAGGGACCCCGAAGAAGCACCCTTGCAAAATGCGTACGCCAAAAGATTGAGAGGTGGAATTGGTGGGGCAAAGGAGGCCTGGTAAAGATATACTTAACAAGAAGCCAGAGAGGTCTCTTTATTTATTAAAAAATTCGTTTGTTCCCTTATTTTCTAACAAATTGTTTCATCCACTTATACCCCCAGTTCATATTGAAACGCGAGAACGTTCTGTGCTTTGAAAACACCTTCGGATAAACTCTCATGTACAGACTGAATTTGATAAATCATGCAACAGTTGTATGTAAATAAACGCCAAAAAAAGATTCGATACAAAGAGATGGAAAAGAAATCAAAAATATCATTAATAACAGCATTAGTATATTAAATCATAGGGAAATATGTACATACATATGCACATATAACTCATGTGCTCTAAAATTAAACTCTCGCCTTCTATGTGCGTGAGGCAATTGGCAATCTGTCCTTTTCCGTATATATTAAATATAATCTGGATATCATAAAACGTTTTTTATATATATTTTGATCTGCCTAATTGTAAAATAAATATATAAAATGCTGTGTGGCAATATTTATCCGTGCAGAAAATACCGCATCTTTTACAAATCGCAAACTTTGCAGTGGAGAGAAAACTGGAAAAGGAAGAGAAATCGTGTGGCTTCAAAAATTTCCTTAAATCCGACAAATCGATAGAATATACTCAGGAAATCAATTATTCTCTCGAGACCCCTCAGGCATTGGCAAAGTCAGAGAATTCAGTGCCATCAGAGTCTCTGTCGTATGCAAACAGGACAAAATATTAGCCATTTTCCACTTTTCTCTATATTTGTAATCCAACAATTTCTCCATAGAACTTTATCAAGCTTTTTGAGTGGTTGAATTGTAAATTTAACTTATTCCATATTCTATCTTTCATTTTCTATAAAAATTCGTTCACCAGTGGCTTATTTACAAATTTTGCTCACGTTTCACCTTCGCCATGAATTTCCAGTATATTGGACAGGGAGTTCAGTGTAGAATGCTCATTTTCTCCCTCAGTTCTTCACAAACTATTCTTGGATATTCCCAAATAATACTGGGGCTCTTGTATCATTGTTTTCGTACATATTTCGATAGTCCCTGCTCTTATTCAATGGCTTAGGAATGTGCTTTCTAGCGAAATAGCAAAATTTGTCAAAACATTGTATGCTATATGATCTCGCCTCGATGAATTCTTTAGTGCAGAAACGTGCCAAGATGTGACTACGAAATATTCATGTGAATAATATGTATTTCCAATGGACAAGGGATGATTTCAAATTTTTTTTCACCCACGTGTCCAATTTGGTGAATAATTTTCGAGATATATCCTAAGCACTCAGCATGTTTTGCATTCTGAATGAGACGAAGGTTCAAATGAACAAAAGACTGGTGAAAAAGAGATTGACAAAGAGGTCTGAAGAATTCTCAACATGTGCACACTCATTAAAATCATAAAGTACTGCACATTGCCTTCAGAAGAAACACAAGGGGCGGATTACAATTCCTATTCAAGTATTCGGATTCCTATTGTGAATTTCATCATCTTTTGCCAATGTAATGTTATATGCGCGAGTTATTAAAGGCCCTTTTAGGCATTTAATGAAACACAGCGTGGGTGGGCGTCAAAGAGGAAGCAATGAAATTGGAATTAACGATCAATTTATACAGAAAGGCATCTCTTGAGGGACGCAACAGTGAATTGTACGATTTTTAAATAAAATTCTACAATACGCATTCTTTCTCAGAGACACTATATATACAATACTCTTGTAGGTATTACATATGTACATCATTCGCTGAGAATAATGGGTTTATTTTGAATTTTTCATCAACTCTTTTTCGGATCTCACTCTCGAAAGGTTTCAAAATTCACTCATTAATTCATCATGAGCTTCTTCGTAAT